TCAGGGGGGGCCCCCCCCCCCCCCGCCGATTCTCTAGTGTCTCGTACGGGGCTCGTGCCACTAGTGCCACCCTCCTCCCCGGGCCGTGGGCGCCGCTCCGATTCGTCCCCCCGTTTCTCGGGGACGGAGCGAGCCGAGCGGGGAGGCCCGATGCCCTCTCCCTCCTCCAGGCGCCCGCGGACGATGCCCAACACGGCTACGGCGCCGAGTACCAGCAGGACCTGGCGGGCAAGGGGCTGTGCGCCCGCGCGCTCTACGACTACCAAGCCGGTAAGAGCCGGGGTTGCAGGGAAAACCGGACCCGGGAGGGGGGTCCGGGCCAGCTCGGGACCCCCTCTCCCTCCTCCCTCGCTCCGTGCCCGCGCAGCCGACGACACGGAGATCTCCTTCGACCCGGAGAACCTCATCACCAACATCGAGATGATCGACGAGGGCTGGTGGCGCGGCTACGGCCCCGACGGCCACTTCGGCATGTTCCCCGCCAACTACGTGGAGCTCATCGAGTAACGGGGCACTCGCCCCCCAGCCCACCCTTCAACCAATGTGTGGCTTTTCCCATTTTTCCTCTTTTTTTCCTTTTTTCCCCTTTTTTTTCCCTTTCATTCTTTTCTTTATTCCCCTATTTTCCCCCTTTTTTCCCTGTATTTCCTTCCCCTTTAAGTGCCATCGTGCCGGTCCCCGGCACCGGGACTGCCCCCGGCTGCTGCTCTCCCCTCTGAGCCACCTCGGAGCCCCCGGGGGGGGTCCCTGCCCTTGGCCCCCCCCAGGGCAGCCCCCAATCCCCCCTCTATTCCCCGACCCGGGGCCTCCTTCCCTTCTCTCTCTGCAGGGGCTTTCTGGGGCTTTTCCCCCCAAAACGGGGGCTTTGCTTGGGGCAAGCATTTGGGGAGGGGGTTGATTCTATTTTATTATTATTATGTTTTAACGGGAGCCTCCGGGTGGGGGATCCCGCCGTCGCCCCAACGTCACTGTGAACGCGGAGGAGCCCGGTGCCGCCGTCGCCCTCGGCGGCCCCCAGCCTCGACGCCGCTTTAGAAATAGGAAGAAATCATGAGTTTTTGGCTTTCTGTTTCGCCTCCGGGCCTCTTCCTTCCGCTCCGCTCGCTCCGGCGCCTCCGCTTCCCGCGGGAACCTCACCCGGAAACAATAAAACCCGGGGCTTTTCCGTCCCGCGCCAGCCCGGCCCCCTGCGCCCTGGGCCTTCCCTCTTCCTGCCTTTAGTGTATATATATCTATACATCTATATCTAGATATGTATACACTATATATACACACACATTTTAATTTTCTTCCTGTTCTACCAAAAACGCTGCTCCTGCTCCGGCCTTCGCTCTGGGCTGGGCAAAGTCAGGGCATTTTTGGCTCCAGCTGGGAGCCACCAAGGGCTGGGGGTCCCAGGCCCCTTCTTGTCGTTGTGCCCATCTTGTCCCCATGGGGTTCGTGTCCCCGTGTCCCCAGGGCGGCAGCGGATCCGGAGCAGCGAGACGGGGGATGTGGGAGCGTTTCTTTATTTGCTGGGATGTGGGATGAGGGCGGCGGGGGATGTGAGCAGGGCAGGGGCCCAGGGAGGGTTTGGGGACATGGTGGTGGCAGGGGCTGGGTATGGCATGGGCACAATGGGGACACGGACATGGCGCGAGCGTGGAGGTGACAGGGACAAGGTCTGAGCATGGAGCTGGGGTGGCGGGAGCAGGGGGATGGCATGAGGATGACGGGCATGGAGGTGACATGGGCACAGAGGTTACGTGGGCACGGGGGTGGCATGTGCATGGGATGATGGCATGGAGGTGACATGGGCACAGGTGGCACGGGAGTGACATGAGCATGGAGGTGACATGGGCATGGGGGTGATGGCATGGAGGTGACATGGGCAGAGAGGCAGCATGGGAGTGACATGAGCATGGAGGTGACATGGGCATGGGGTGATGGCATGGAGGTGACATGGGCACATAGGTGGCATGGGAGTGACATGAGCATGGAAGTGACATGGGCATGGGGGTGATGGGCAGGGGGGTGATGGCATGGAGGTGGCACGGGGTGACATGGGCACAGAGGGGACACGGGCATGGGGGTGACGGGCACCGCGGTGACATGAGCATGGAGGTGACGGGCATGGAGGGGACTGGGGCTTGCAGC